GCCAGGCAGACACAGAGCACTCAGACGAGCAGATCTGCATGCCAGAATGCGGCGTGACGGCCATCGGCTCACCTGGCGATAGAGAGGGCAGCAATGCGGCTCAATGGAACATCGACACACCTGCCAGGCAGACACAGGAGCACCCAGACAAGCAGATCTGCGTGCCAGAAGGCTGCGTGACGGCTGGAGGGCTTCTTGGGTTCAGGGTTTCTTGGCCGAACGCTTCGCTCCGCGACGAGGCCGCCTCGTCGGTCAGAGATCACACCGTCCTGACCGCTGCTGAGCACCTGATCTGCCGATGGCCATCTGACTCCCTCAGATCTGCGTAAAGGGACACTTCACGCGCGGCTCTCCGCAACGGAGCGGCCTCGCCGGTCGCCACCACACTGTGTGACTCCACTACCTACCCTCGACTCCCACATACGCTGTCGTCCCCGGCAACGCTGTGGTGTGCAAGCACTGACACATTTCAAGCTCGCATTGGGAAAAGGTTATAAGTCCTGCCTGACAAACATAACCACCCTTCGTGAAACGCAATTACATTGCTTTTTCTGAGTGGGTGCATTTGATTTTCGGGATTTTGGCCTCGTGGAATTCCGATGCGTGTAGGCAGCGCACGCGAGAGCTATTTTGATTAAGCAAAACTAGACAGCATGCTCTCGCTTCTGATCCCATTCGCATGTCGTTCGGCAGCCAAACGAGACGGAGGAAAAAAGAAAACGAATTTTGCCAATCTGTTGCAGTTTCACAGATTTCCTAAACATTCGCTTTTACTGTTTTACGGACACGCCTGCCCTTCGGGGCAGGCACTCCACTTGTCTGCGGCAATGCATTCATCACGTATGTGTGCCTTGCCCCCTAGTGCGCAGTCTGCACACATCTCGGTGTCTGCGTGCCCGCCTGCCGACCGGCGAGACTGTGTTGCGTCAGCTGACGAAGGCTGAGTTGGCCGCGTCAGAGCTCAAGGAGACGCTCCTGCACAGGCAGCACCTGTGGCCGCAGATCGGACCGCAACACCTCTTTCGCGTCTGGAGAGTGTAGGCGCGCACACAGATACACAGAGCACATGTGCAGTGGACGGCATCTCTGTGTTGTGCGGTTGGTGTGTGCGCCTCAGGTGTCAGGATGAGTATGACTACCGAGTGGGTCTGTGGGCGCTGAACCTCTACTACAACCTGGGCCGGCCGCACGACCACCCGCAGACGGCCGACAGACTCATTGCAATGCGCTCACACTCACTGCACAGCCTGACAACCTCGATGAACCTCTGGAGGTGCGCACGCAAACATGGCCAACACGCTTCACGTCATGCGTCTGCAGCTGCAGTGTCTGCTGCTGCTTGCTTTCTCTCTCGCAGGTGCTGCGAACCTTCAACGCCTTCCTGAGCCACCCGCCCTCGTCCTTCATGATCCACCTCATCATGGTACACACATCGGCTGATATGTGTAGTGAGTCCATCCACACACCCCGATGGCTTTGTGTGTTGCCGTTCTGATCCATCAGGACCACTACCTGGATCGCCCTGAGTACTGGAGGGTCCGCCAAGTGCTCCAAGTCTGCAGGGAAAACTGGTTGGTGCGCTAGAGCTCCACACAAGCCAGAGAGGCAATCAGTGAGTACTGTTCCTCATCAATATGTGGCTGTGTGAGTGACTGTGGGCGTGCAGGCAGCTGCCTGTGTCGGGACTGTGTTGCGTCGGTGCCGACCAGCAGGGTTTAGGGTCAAGGGTTGGGGTAGAAAACGGCCGAACAGCCCGTTCACCGTGTCCATGAGAATTGACCGGTCACACCAACATGCATCATGCATCACCTTGGCCGGCCCGTCTGTCTGTCTGTCTGTCTGTCTGTTTTTCTGTCCGTCTGTTGGCCGGCCATTTTGCCTACCTTTGGGCGGTGTGTGCCAATAGACCTGCTCACTCCCTGCTGCTGCCCCCTGCCTTATCGCCTCTCTCTCTCTCTCTCTCTCTCTCTAAGACAGCACGGCGCAGAGGGCACACACACCGGTGGCAAACAGACAGGCAGACAGGCAGCCGAGGTCATGGTGGATGGATGCTGCGTGTCGGCGTGATGGGCGGTGTGTTGAACGGACTGCCTGTACGGGATGTGCGGCCTTGTCTTTCTTTTGGAATGCTCGAAAGGCCGTGAGGTGACTTAACGGAAGTCAGGCAGTGAGGCAGAGATGGCCGGGCTTGTGAGCAGTGGTCTCCTCCCTTCACTGCTCACAAACCCGCATCTCACTGAGCCAGACAGACGAAGACAGCGACCTTAAGACACCAATACAAAAAAAGTCGTTTACACGCAGTGACGAGACTGCGTGTAAACGACTTTTTTTGTGTTGGCATGGGTGGCCGAGATTTTTGGGTCTCTCCATCCGTCGCGACATGTACACCTGTCGTTGTCCGCGACGAGAATGCATGTGGGTGTTGACTGTTTCCATACATACTCTGATGATATCAGGAATGACAAACAGACCCTTTGGTGTCCATACCTAGCACATACATACATGTGATGTGAATAGGGGCAGAGATAGGGTGAGACTCAGAGATGGGGTGAGACTCAGACGACCTCTGCCCGTATTCGCATCACATGTATGTATGTCTGACCTGCTCACACTGTCTTATCGCATCCTCCCTCAACCGACCCCTCTCTCTCTCTCTCTCTCTGACTGACAGCAGAGCGCAGAGGGCACACACCGGTGGCTTCTGCGCTCTGCTGTCTTTCAGAGAGAGAGAGAGCGTTGAGGAAATGGAGAATCCGGCCCGCAGATGGATAACCACAGCTGAGCTTATTGCACTGTGTGTGCCACAGCCTGGACGGTCTGGACAAGCGCAATGCGTCAACGAACGGGCGATCTGTCTGCCATGTGCAGTGGTCACATGTATCTGACACAGATGATCTGATCTGAAGAAAGTACACCCACCTCACTCTCACTTCCACTTGCACACACGCATATAGACACCACACGACTGCCACCCCTCCGCTGTACACCCACCGGCCACACACGAATGCCGTACCATCACATCTCATCAGGTGAAGTACCTCACCCCAACCGCAGTGCCGCCCATCCCGCCCCCGCCACCGTCGGCCACCTGCACCTGCCCCCTCCTCATCGCTCCCACACCATTGCCGCCCTTTCGCCGCACTCCACCGCCCTCACGCGACGCGGACGGCGGCTGGCACACGGGGGGCGAGGGCATCTGCCGTCCACCGCCACCGCCGCCCTGAGATGGACCGCTGCCGCTGCCGCCGCTGCTGCTGCTGCTGCTGCTGCTGGGCGACGCTGAGGTCTGCCATGATGACTGGCTTGTCTGAGAGCTCCCCTGGGGGCTGCTCGATTGCTGCGATGGGTTACTGCCGGACGCCTGCTGCTGCTGCTGCTGCTGGCTCTGCTGCTGTTGCTGTTGTTGCTGCTGCTGCTGCTGTTGCTGTTGCTGCTGTTGCTGAAAGGCAATACACAAGGATGCTCATGGTGGGTGGTGTGATGCAATCATGCACGCGTACCGGCGCCACTGGCGGCGGTGCCGCGCGCTCAGACTCTGGAGCTGGGCCATACACATTGAAGAACCTGACCAACCAGCAAAGGGGATACACTGCGTCCATTAGCTCATCTGTCGGTCCGCCGTGCTCACTTGGTTCTATCTTCGTATATCTCCAGGCACGACGCGGCGTTGTTGAAGCGATAACAGTAGTTGGGGGCACTCCACACCGTCACCACACGACCGCCCAATGACACCTGACACAATTCAAAGACAAGGGGACTCCCATGGCGAGTAGAGTGCCTGTGCGTCCATGTGTCGCCTACGCACCAGGTATCCCTCTTGGCAGAGTTGGTGGGCCCGTATGAGCTGTTCGATGCCGTTGATCTCCAGGAACGTCGCGGCAATGTCCTTGCCAAACACGTAGCCGGCACCGCGGGGCGACACCGAAAAACCTTCATTTTTGCACACAGGAAACGGCGGGTGAGTGAGTCCGTGGTGTATGTGTGTGTGCGTGTGCCGTTGCTTACCCTCCTTGTCGTCGTCTGGGTCGCTCCACATCAAGTCTGCCAGCGGCCCCTCGTGCGGGATCTCCGTAAACCGATCCAATATCCTGACAGACGGACGCAAACAAAGGAACAGCACAGCCATGAAACGAGGAATGCACGCCCCACACCCTCTCTCCCCTCAACAACCACCCACCGTATTTGGTCTAGTGTGTGAATGGATGGGCTGAGCCCGCCGTGCACGGCCAGGTATGTGTTGTCGATGAGTGCGGCGATGGGCAGGTAGTCGAAGAGGTCGGTGAAGCACTGCCACACCACCCCGTTGCCGTACTTGCGGTGACACTCGTTGTAAAACCCATACACCTGGGTTATCTGCCGGGACTCGTGGTTGCCTGCATGACCAACCGACCAAGCCACTATGGGCAAGTGTTGGTCTTTGGTCGTCACCTCTGAGTAGGGTGATTCGGTGCGGGTGCCTGAGCTTCAGGCAGAGGAGCAGTGTGATGGTCTCCACACTGTGAGAACCCCTGTCCACATAGTCACCTGATCAACGCAATCACACACAGACATGCACACACGACCAGAGAATGCCTGCTGTCGGTCTTTCCTCACCGAGGAAGAGGTAGTTGGTGAAGGGCACCTGGCCGCCAATCTTGAGCAGCTCCAGCACATCGAAATACTGCCCATGCACGTCGCCCACAAGAGTCACTGGCGTCGGCACGGTCTTGACATTGCTCTCATCCGCTAGAATGCGCTTGACCCGCTCGCACAGCAGCCTGATGGCCATCTCGTCGAGGGGCTGGCACGCCATCGCCTTCTCCAGCAACTTGTCGACGTCGAACGGCATCAGCTGCAGATGAATGCGATAAGCGATAATCAGATTGCAGATGCGGCAAGATCCAGTCACTCAGTCACTCAGGCCACTCCAAACATGCTCCTTTCCCCCAGGAGGAGGAAACCGCGCTCGCCTGCGCCTTAGACCAAACCCTTGACCCGAAACCCTGCGGATGGGATTGTTTGGTCAAACCACGAGGACAATGGCGATGACTCTGGCTGACATTCTTCAAGTGCTGAAGACTCCCGTGTTGGCGCTGTTGCCGATTGACTCCATCGCAACGCTCCGAACTGTCGCTCGCCAAGACTACCGCACCGGAATTGCGCCAGAGACCGAGCTGAGGCAAATCATTGATGCTTTCAACCAAGACGAGGACAGCAACACACTCGGCTTCGGCGTCCAGCTGCCGGCCAACATTACTTATGTGGCCTATTGCCTGCTGCGGGACCGACAGAGGCAGAGGAGCCTCCAGCGATGGTCTGGCTATTTGGCGATGCTTCATCGGACGGGTGACATTGATGCGCTGCCTTTGACCATCACCGATGACGACATCGATGCGATGGACGGAGGGCTCAAGCTGCAACTGAGGACCACGGAGATGTCCCTCCTCGCCGCCCGGCAGTATGAGCTCATCCAGACCAAATGCGGCCCTTTCGTGAGGCGCATCACGGTCTCAGACGACCAGCGTCTGGTCACTTCGTTCATCCCCTCCGCTCCTGCCAGTCTTCTTCCAACCATTCTTCCCCTCGATGACCTGCCTGGCAGCCTCACGACGTGCTACGGCGGCGACGTGAATGCCAGAGACCCCTCATGCCTTCTGTCGACCCGCATCCTGCTCTATTTCGACTTCGATTCCTACCGAGGTGCCGCCACGGTAGTCGATGGCGTTGTGGCCCTGCTGGCGAGAGAGGCTGGCGGTTGCCTGGATGCTGGCGCGCTCAGGGGCTTCCTGGACGGGGCGGGCGACGACACATCGACCATCGTGTGGGGCTACCCTCTGCGCCTGAACGACCGCACTTCTGCCGGTGCGATAGCCAAGCTCTACTGCCGCAGACACCCACACGGCCACCCGGAGCTGCAGGCCAACATGCGGACTGCCAAGATCGACTGCACCCTCGCCCTGACAAACGTCTTCCGGCCGTCAGAGTGGCGTCATGCCGGCCTTGAGCGTGCTGCGGATGCCCCCAAGCTGAGCCGCTGTGGGGGCTTGGGTGTACCTCTGTCCTACCTACCGGCATTCATCCGAACATCGCTCAACGGCAATGGGGACAAGACGGTGGTGGATGGTGACGTGCTGGCCTTTATCGAGGCTCTCGACGGATGGCTGACGGCGGGGGAAGAGAGGAGTAGGTTAAGGCGGTTCTACATCCACTACAATGCTGAAGCGATTGCTGGTCTGTAGCTGACGACGGGCAGACAGTCGCGTGGGCCTGTGCGTGGGTAGGTCGAGTCCGTTGAAGGACAAACGGCCCTTTCTATGTGTAGTCCTGCACGTGTGCGTATGCGCCGTTCGGACACACACAATGACTTCTTGCAACGCGACGTATCAGAAATGTCCAGAGGCACGTGGATGGTGAATGGACATGGACAAACACGAGTGCCACAAGCCTGCAAGCAAAAGGCTGAAAGCACAACAGCTCCACCGCCTATGTGCGTGTTCGATGCGTCCACATTCAGATAGACACCCACATCAGCTACCAACCGCGCGACCACAAGCGCCCATTCTGGGTGCCGCATCTTCCATGATGTCCCGCATCCGATCTGCCCTCGTCCACACGCACACACACGACGGCACAAACACACGAAGGCCGACGGTATGCGCATCTGTGCGTGTCTTTCTGCGTGTCTATCTGTCTGTCTCACCGTGATAGTTGGAGTCGTAGCTACATAGATTTCCAGAAGCAATGGTACACAAGCACGTCCAAAAAACACAGAATGCACTGCTGAGGAACAACACTCTCGGGAAATATAAAATGCAAGCAGCGATAATAGCCACCGCTGATTTCGTGTCTCTTGCGTGTGCGTGTGTCTCTTGGGTAGCGGCCGCCTGCGAGTCAGCCGATCTGTTGGGGAACGGCGTCTCGGTCGTCCATATCTCTGCACGAGCGAAGGCCAGGGTGGGTGGGGTGGTGGTGCCAACAGCCGCGCCATGCTTCAGGTAGATCGCTGTATTCACCGCTCCCGACGCCGGCAGCAGCACCCAAGTGGTGCGTATCTGTCTGCCGGAGTGCTCTCGCCACTCCTCCTCGTGAGTCACCACATAGTCGCTGCCCCAAACCTTGCCCACCGCCTGAGGAGCACGCAGCAGCAGGAGCAGCAGCAGCAGCAGCAGCGGCAACACACGGTTACTGTACAGGATGCTGTGTGAGTGTGGGTGGTGTGCTTGGGAGAGCGTGCCTGTGCTGAGATGGTCTCGAACTTCTTGAAGGCCTTGTCGGTGGCCGAGGGCTCAGACACCAGGCCCGGCACGCATCTGAGCTCCTGTCTGTCGAACCAGGGCGTGAACAACCTGACAGACGACAGACAATCGAGGGCCACGTATGGTGTGCTGTGGTGCGGCTCGTCTTACACGCGCTTCGCGAAGTGCGTGAAGGCAGCGTAGTGTCGGCAGCGTCGGCCATCACAATCTGAGAAAGCACATCAAGGCAACACCCATCCCTCCATCCATGACACACGCAGGTGCCTCCCAGTGGCCACTCACCCCAAGTGAATGGCGGGTCTTTGGGGTCAAACACGTCCACAAATGGCCCCTGGGCCTCTGTAGCGCGCATCGTGGTACACACGGCCGCAGACCTCCTCGCCAACACCGTGTCCCTGCCTTCCTTGGGGCCCAGCCCCACCCCGGCCATTGGCCCGCCGATGAGCGAAAATTGCCGCACTGTCCCCACCTAATCCACATGGCGGCGGGTCAGCTGGATCGGCAGCTCGAACCACGACTTCTCCCAGGAAATGGGCTATGACAGGCCGCCCGATTGAATCCGAGAGTCGCGAGAGGATCAACCGCAAGCTCGATGCAGCCCAGCAGGAACAAGAGAAGCGCGCGGAGCTGGTGCACTTGCGACGACGCCTCGTCGACATCGTCTATGCGGCGACGAAGGGCAAAGATGAGATGCACAGGTGTGACGCCCTTGCTAACGAGCGGCTCAAAATGGCACGACGCCCGCCGGACGGCGACGACCTCTCGCAAACTTTCGGCGGCAGCCACAGCATGATGCTGTTGAGGTTCTGGCGAAGGCGGGCGGTGCGCGGGGCTACGCATTTGCGAGGGCGCTTCATGGTCGCCGCCATGACGCCCGGTGGACGCTGCTGCAAACAGCTGAAAGTTGTGTTTTGTTGAGGCTCTGAGAGGCTGCTGACGATCCGAACGGTGCAACAGCCACGGACGTCCATTGGTATTTGACGCACCGCAGCTCGTTGCAGTCTGCCAGCGTCTCCCGTCGTCCTCACGGTCTATCTTCAGCCCATACAAGCAGGTGACTGAACAGGGAATGGTTGACGGCTGCGCGCAGACGGGCTTGGCCTCATTCGACTCACGGTGAAGACGAAGCTGCCCGGAAGGTCGAGAGAAGTCTTCGAAATATAAAATGTAAGCAGCGATGATCACTACCGAGAGACACACGGCCAAGACACACAGACGCACTGAATGATGCTGATGTTTGTGTCTCTTGGCTGTGTCGCTGTGATTTCGCCGTCGTACCGGTTTGCGATCTACTCGGCCGAGGGTGAGCCCCAGGGCGATAGTTTCTGCTCCTCCTCCTCGGCCTGTCGCGCTGCCCTGAGCAGCTGGTGCGCCGATGGCCTCTCCTCCCTGGGTTTGGTGATGGCGGCGGCGAGGAGGGCGGCGAGCGGGGCTGGGATGGTGGGCGGCACCTCGATGTCCTCGCCGTCGTCGTCATCGTCGTCGGCGTCACCGCCCTTGATGAAATGGCCAGTGACGATCTCGACGGCGGTCTTGGCCACCATCCAGATGTCGCTGGCCATGTTCATCAGGCCGTCGGGGGGCGCGTCGGGCTGCAGATGGCCCCAGGGGGAGCCGATCAACTCTGGCGGCTGGTACTGGAGGGTGACGGCCGAGCTGCCGCTGATGTCGACAAAGTCGCAGCCCTCAAGCACCGCCGCCGAGCCAAACTCCACCACCGTCAGCTGCCGAGACCGCCGATCATACACCACTGCACACACATTCACACACAGACACACACAGACACACACAGACAGTCAAACAGATAGTGAGCGGGCATGCAGACACGGGGCGTCACCCACTCACCGTTGTCGGGCTTCATGTCGCGATAGACCATTCCCAGTCGGTGCATGTGGGCGACGGCCTCCAGCAGCTGTGTGACGATGGCCAGCCTCTCCCTCCTCGTCATGCCAGCCTGCTCAAACACTATCTGCACATCCATGCATTCAGAATGGATATGCGTGTCGACCACACCACTAGCGTGGTTCCTGATCACCTCATGGAGAGCGCGGCCGTTGGCCTTTTGGTGTAGATGGCGCTGCCATCTAGGCAGAATTCGGCCGCTTTGATGGCCACGATGTGGCGATGCCCCCCAGCCGCCCGCACCCGGCCCAGCACCCTGCGCAAACAGCACCGCACCCGGTGTGCACATTGTTGATTGATATGCGCCATCCGGCTGAGTATGATCATACCTGGCCTCCTTGAGGACGCAGTTTATCTCATGCTCCTCCCAGTAGCCCGGGTCTGACTCGTCGTCGGCCATGCTCCCCTGTGGCGGCTGCCTGTCGGCAGTATACGCCCTGCAGGGCGTCTTCTTGACGACCACACCGCCTGCACAAATGACCAGCCAGACGACTCAATCCCTCAATGACAGCATGCGATGCAGTGCAATCGAACACGTACCTGCCATCTTGTCGTGTGCGTGTGCGACATTGAAAACGAGCGGCGCCGTCCCGTTGCGCCTACCCCTCATCCCGTCCATCAAACACTGCTGGAGGGGCTCCCCGTCCCTAAGCATCCCCTCCCCCGTGTCGGCCGAATACCGTCGGCCACTCCTGCCCTCCCCCTGCACCACCGGCACCCCCAGCTCCCTGCACACGTTGGCCGCCGACCGCTGAAAACTAATCAGGCCGCTAAGGCGGTGCAGGAGCTTCCAAATGAAGCGCTCGCCCCGCGCCGCCGACCAGGCTGCTCGTACGAGCCCCGCCAGCCAATGGTCCTCGACGAAGTCCTTGAAGGACTGGACGTCCGGCTGGCTGGGGCCGTAGAGCAGCTGGGCCGCCTCGTGGAACAGCCGATAGGCTGCAGGCAAGGTGGGCGGCATGCCGTCGGCAGGGAGCCAAAACGGCTCGGCGTCAACGTACTCCGGGTAGCTGGCCGCTTGCCGTCCTGCAGTGGATGCACCACAACCAAGCACAGCAATGCGAGCAAACAGCAGAGCACATGTGGTGCCAGTTCAGCTGTACACTAAGCTTGGCGTGGGTCCAGTGGGTTGGGCAGCACTAGCACATTCTCAAGATGTGCCGTGGCGCTAGGCCTCCGGCGGAGGCCTTCGCGGCGCCAGCTGGTGCTGTCTACTGAGAAGTCTACTGAGCTCCGCGGAAGGCCTTCCATTATCACGCGATTGCCTCCGCAATGGGCGTCTCTCTCGCATACAGGCAGAGCAGCGGCAGGCGATGGCGTTCTGCTTCTCTCTGCTCTGGACGCCCTCTCCTCTTGCAAGCTGAGGCAGTGGGGTAGATCGAAATGAATGGGGTTCATGTCGAGCGGCACGCACATGGTCGCGGCGGGGAATGAGTCACGCGAATATAAAATGTAGGCGGCGATGTGTGGACTGAGACACACATCCAAGACAAACACGTGTCTCGCGTGTACTTATGAGTGAAGCGCTTAGCGGACCTACCGACAATGCGCCCGCTGGCCGTGCTCATCACTTGGTCGGCCTGGTTGGGGCCTAGCAGTCGGCGATATCGCGATTCCCTCAGTTCGGTCTCGATGTTCATTTTAGCGGCCACCCACACGTCGCTGTGGCTGTCCATGAGATCGTCAGGGGGGGTATCGGGATGCAGGTGCCGCCACGGAGAGGTGGTGAGCTCGGGCGACTGGTACTGGGGCGTGACGGCTGCATAGCAGCTGCTGTCGACAAAGTCGCAGCCCTCCAGCACCGCCGCCGAGCCAAAGTCCACCACCGTCAGCTGCCGAGACCGCCGATCATACACCACTGCACACACATTCACACAGACAGAGAGAAATGGACATGAGTGAATGGGCGTCCATCCATCTGGCTGACTGATGGTGTGTGTCTCTCTGGATGATATATGTCTGCTTACGATTCCCCGGCTTCATGTCCCGGTAGACAACGCTGTGTCGGTGTATGAAGGCGACGGCCTCGAACAGCTGCCAGTTGATGGCCAGCCTCTCCTGAAGTGCGATGCCGGCCGCCACGGCACCCTTACTATTCAATATCTGCACATAAGCACCCATGGGTTCAGGCAGACCTTAACAAATGAATATGTATCCGTGTGTGTACAAGTGTGTGTCTTGTTTCTACTTGCCTCGGCGAGCGAGCGGCCCTTGGCCTTGGCCATGAACAGGGCGCACGAGTCCACAAGGAACCGGGGGCCTCTGATGACCACGACGTTCTTATGGCCGCCCGCCGCCTTGATATGGCCGAGCACTCTGAAGGAAGAAACACGCAGAAGGACGTGTTTGTGCACGTCTGTCTGTCTGTCTGTCTGCGTGTACGTGTCTGTTGGATACCTGGCCTCATGCAGCACACAGTGCATCTTCTGCTCCTCCCAGCCCTCTCCGTCCCACTCCTCGTGACCCTTCATGGTCTCTGGCGGCGGCAGATGCCTCTCCGCCGTGTACCCTACGCAGGGCGTCTTCGCCACCACCTGGCCGCCTGCATGCCATGCACACATTGGAGTGAGTCCGGACAGTAGTGAAATGTTCATGTCTGTCCCTGACTGACACGCACATACCTGCCGACGTGTCGAGTGCGTGTGCGACGTTGCAGATGACGGCCGCCGCCCTTCTCCCGCCCGCCCTCATGTTGTCCAGCAGCTCCTGCTGCAGCCCCTTTGATCGTGTCGGCCACGGACCGGCCGCCCCTGCTCCCCTCCTCCCCCACCACCAGCACCCCCAGGCCGCGGCAGGTACTTGCCGCCGACCTCTGGAAGCTGATCAGCCGGCTAAGGTGCTGAAGCAGGTTCCAGAGGTCGCCACAGATCTGAGGAAGAGAATGTAGGTGTACTTCCCAGCCCCACGACCACCTCCGGTATCAGAGAGACAGTGTATGACTGTAGAGGCCCAATAACCTACCAGACTTCCTTGAGCATGCTGCTTGTCTACACATTGTTGCGGGCAGATGAGTCATCCGAATATAAAATGTAGGCGGCGATGGGCTGAGACACATACCGGAAGGAGAATATTAGTACGTGTCTCGCGTGTAAGAATGACTACGATCCGGCAGCGAACCCACCTGCAATGCGCCCGTCGCTGGTCGTGCTCATCACTTGGTCGGCCTGGTTGGGGCCCAGCAGTCAGCGCCATGGCGATGGTACATAACTGCAACCAACACAGCCCGACCGCCAAGAGACACACACACATGACACACCACAGCGTCGTTGCTTCCCCCTTGCCCACTCACTGTTATGTGGCTTCATGTCACGGTAGATGACACCATTCTGGTGAAGGAAGGCGACGGCCTCCAGCAGCTGGCGGATGATACCCAACCGCTGCCGTCGGTCGACGCGGCTCGGCACGTCCCCATCCTCAGCAAACAACACCTGCCACACACACACACACACACACACACACAGAGAGAGAGAGATGGGATGCTGTCCCGTGCGTGCAGCGGATCACTTGCTTGCCTCATTCAGCGGCGAGCCAGCAGCCTTGTCCATGTACACGCCGTTGCCGTCTAAACAAATCTGGACCGCCCTGATGCCGATGATGCCCTGATGCCGGCCCGCCGCTCGTACGTGGCCCAGCACCCTGATTCAACACATGGATGCACACGCGTGTGGACTTCCTTCGTGTAGCTCTTGCTTACCGTGCTTCGTTCAGGACAGTGAGGAGCTTCTGCTCCTCCCACCTGCCCTCGTCCCACTCGCCGACCCCGAACTGCGATGGCGGCTTGCGGTTGGCCGTGTACTCCTGGCAGGGCGTCTTGAACATGACTGCCCGGCCTGCAGCACAAACAACGTCCCACACATTGTGAGGCTCCTCCTATCTCTCTTCCTTCCTGCCCCACCGTATACCTACCCGAATAGAGGTCAGTCGTCTCATGCACGTCAGACACGATCGGTGCCCGTCCGCCCCGATCCCTCATCCCCTCCATTAGCTCCTCCTGAAGTGGTCCGCCGTCCTTAAGATATGGCCGCCGCCAAAGGAACCGGCGGCCAATGCCCTTGCCCTGCGTGACCACCGGCACGCCCAGTTGCCTGCACTGGTCGGCGGCGAACCGCTGCAGGCTCATGAGCTGGCTCAGGCAACAGAGCAGGCCGCGAAGGATTTCCTGCCCGTCCCTCCTGGGCGACGCCTGCCATGCCGCTCGAGCCAGGGCTGCCAGCCAGTGGTCCTCGATGAACTCGTCCAGCCCTCCCACCCCGCCGCTGATGGTCTGCAGCTCGTCCGCCGCCGAGTGCAGCAGCCGATAGATGGCTGTCAGGCGGGGCGGCAAGTCTATGGGGAAGGGGGACGAGTCCCATCTGACGGCCTGTTGGGCCTCTCTGCAGCCTGATACACATACATGGACAGCAAACAGACACGTGCACGACTGCACAGGCAGTGCAAATTGCATGAGTAACTGTGCGGACCTGCTACGTCGCTGAGTGGGTCGACTTGGACCAACGCGCGGCCCGGCGCGGCATTCGCATGGTTCGGCAGGGGAATCGCAGGCATGGGCGGGGGCAGATGGATAGCAGCCGATCCGCTTTGGGGCATCTGAGGCATCTGCAGGTTGGGAGAAGGCATGTAGCAGCACGGCACAGGCGTCGCGCGATCACGCCACATCATGGGACGCAGGCCGCCTTCCTATCGAATATCGCTCAACGTAAGCAAAGGATACACAGGAGTGATGAGGCGAGGAGACATACCGATGTTTTGCCCTCCCTCCCTCGTTTCCGTACCGTTTGACGGCTTTACGTCTCGGTGGACGATCCGTCACGAATGCAGGAAGGTTAGGACCTCCAGAAGCTGGCGCACTATCGACAGCTTCTAAAGCCATCATCAGGGATACTCCGCGAAATCCCTCACCCGACACGAACTGAGCGATCAATCAACGCACAGAAGGGTGGAGAAAGAATCCATCGGCCAGTCGAGAGCAGGGCGCTTCGATGTGCTGGTATGCCCTGGCTCCCCTACCTCAGACAAGGGCACGCCACGTGCCTTCTTTACCGGTATGGCGTTTTGCTCCCGGCCGTCCGTCTTTTGCCGCCCGTCTTGAGGAACATCGCGAGATCCACCCAGCGCACAAGCCTAAGCGCTGTGCATTCGTTGAGCTGGAAACAGACACGGAAATATAAATTGTAGGCGGCGATGGGCTGACACATATACACATACACACAGCAAGCGACATGAGAACCTTGCTACATGTCTGGGGGATCAGTGCGAGCGAGACATACCTGCAGTGCGCCCATACGTACGAGCTGTGTGTGCTGGGCCACAAAGTGCTCGCACAGCTGCCGTGAACAGCTCACGCAGCACCTGCAGGCAGACACCGAGGGCTGTGTGGGTGGGGGGCGTGTGTCTGAGCCAGAGGCGACGCGTATCTCGAAGCCTCTGTCAACTCGCAGTGTCTGCCAGTGGGCCATTCCGCGGCCCGCGGGCAGGAAGGCTTGCTGCAAGACGTATTGCTCGCACAGCCAGCGCACTGCGCTGTCGCGGTACAGATGCCGTGTACAGCTCCCTCAACACCTGCAGGCAGAGAGGTCAGAGACGCCGAGTGGGTCAGTGTGTGAGTGTCTCCATCTATGTGCGGATGCTGCACACCTGTGAGGGCGTCGAGCGGAGCGCCGGGTCGGCCCGCAGCAAGAGTGACGCGACCCCGAGGAGCACCTTGAACGCCTCGCTCTGGTTGTTCTGCTCCGGCCAGACGATGCACTCCCTGCGGACTTTGTCGATCTCCTCATCGATACGGCGCTGGATGACCGAGGTCACCATGTGGGGGTAGTCATCGACGTCATAGCCAAAAGGCAACGCTAGGATCCTGGACTGCATGAATCAACACATGAATGACACACAGACACAGACACAGACACGGACACGCAGGTGTTCATGCAGTGAGAGTCTCCATCGGTGTGTCGTGCGGCCAGAGCGTACCAGGTCGCAGCGTGTCTGCGCGATGTACTGGGACGCACTGCAGGTGGGAGAGGGCGGCAAGGAGGCAAGGCGGAGGCAGTCGAACAGGACCGTCCCGATGCCGTGGCTGTCCACCTGGGGCCACTGACCCCGGCGGTCGCGCCACTCCCTGACCCCGGGCGGAAACAGGGTGAACGTACCGTAGGCCAATGGCGACATGCTGTCAAGGAAGGGACACAAACACACACACACACACACACACAGATGACAGAGCAGCTACATGTGTGTGTGTGTGTGTGTGTGCGGCGTATGTATGTGTGATGGGTGTTTTGCACTTTGCGCACCCGAGGCGGTCGCACTTAGCCCCGCCGAAGTCGAGGATCTTCACCTCAGCCACCACGGGGCAGCGCACCTTCTGGCCGCCGCGCCTCACCTTGTCCTCCCACCGCACCGCGACCATGATGTTCTGGAGCTTCAGGTCCCGATGGTAGAGATCTCTGGTCGATACACACAATCATGTCGCTTCGAGTTGATGTTTGCCGTGTGGTGTTGTGTACTATGTGGCTTACAGGGTGAGGTGCATGTGGTGAATCGCGCTGATGGTGCCGAAAATGATGATCGAGGTCTCGGCCATGTCGATCGGGACGTCCAAACTCACCCTGAGGAACAGAATGTGTGTATGTGTGTATGTGTGTATGCGTCAACCGCCACACACGGATGTGGTGTGTGCGTGTGTTTCTCCATTCACTCATACCTCGTGCAGAAGAACTCGTGCAGTGTCTGGCCTAGGATCAGCTCGTTGACGATGAACACAGCACTCCAGTCGGCGAGTGGGTGCATGGCAAAGGAGTGTGTGGTAGAGGAGGCCATGGCCCGTCGCTGCGCCGAGTACTCCTGCATCGCCTGCTCACACACACACCCACACAAACACAGAGTGGTGTGTATCTGTGCTTGATGTGTCTTCGTGTCCCATGCGTCACTCACCCGCCATTTGAAGTCGCCGAAGGACTCGTCCGGACTCTGGGTGAGTATCTAGACGGCCAGCACCGGAGCAGCCCGCCATGCACTGAAATACTCCCGACTCACACACACATACATCATGTTTGAGGGATCTATCTTCGCGTCGTGTGTGCTCGTGTTGCGTCCCATCATGTGTTTGAGTTCTGAGGAGTGCTCGTTGGGCTCCTTCTTGAGTATTTTGACTGCGAACGCGTCGACGTTGCGCCACTTTCGGTTCTGCTCGGGAACATCTGGCCTCCGGCAGAAGGGCTGAACCACCGAGAACCCTCCCTCATCGAGAAACAGCTGCAGTTCAACACAGACAACGATTCATGCGTGCAGAGACCATCTGCAGTCAGACACCAGCAGTCAGACACCTTGCGACCTTGCATCTCAGGCGGATACAGACGTGGGGTGCCGTACGCACGTGGATGGCGCCTGGAAAGGTACACACACAAACACGCCACACCATTCAGGCCCCATGTGTCTGTCCATGTGTGGGTATGGCTGCGCACTCCGGCAGGTCGCAGCGGGCGGCACCGAAGTCCAGCAGCTTGGCTTCAGTCACCGCCGGGACCGTCACCCTGAAGCCGTCGGGACTCCACCTCCTCTCCAGGCTTGTGCTAATCCCGATGTTCTCCAGCTTGAGATCACAATGGAAGAGTCCTCTGATCGACAAAGACACACAATGCCATGGTGTGAGTCGGGTCGTGTGTGTCGGGTGGTGTGGGTATTTGGGTGGCCTACAGGCGGTGCATGTGCGATGTGCCGGACAGGACACTGAAGCTGATTGTGATGACCTCATCCATGACTATGGGCACTCCGAGATGCAGCCTGAACGCCACACCACACCACCACACAAAGATAGCTGTGTGTCTGTGTGGGTGGGGGGGGGAGTTATGTGTTGGTACCTGTCTTGGAGGAAGCGGAGGAGGTCTTTGCCGAGCACGAACTCGCCAATGAGGAAGGTGTGGTCTGCGTTCCAGGCCATGGCGTAGGAGTGAGCGGTCCATGGAGACATGGACCGCCGCTGGGCGTTTTACTCCTCCTTCGCCTACTCACACACACACACACACACACTTACACACTGTATGTAGGCTTGCGTGGCTCGCCCCCCGTGCAGCCAGTCAGTTGGTACCTCACTCACCCTCTGGATGAGGTATGGTGTGTCGTTCAGGTACTGAGCCTTGCTGAGCAGCTTGACGACCACCACGTCGCCGCAGTCATACCACATCTCGTCCACCTCCTCGCCCTCACGCCCCGTCTCGCGGCCACCACCCTGCCGCGGCACGCGTGGCTTCCTCACCATCAGCTGCACAGCCCCGTACCCTCCCTGCCCGATAACATGCTGCAGACACACACAAAACACGACGATGTAATACACAGACGACGAGAGTCAAGAGCGTCTCGTGTGGGCTGACCGCCGGGTAGAAATAGCGCAGGAGGCTGTCGGGGTACCTCACGCCCGGAAGATACCGCCGCTGCAGGGGGTCGTCCTGCACACCCATCTCCTGGAAATGGGCGCGAAGTGACTCCTTGGCTGAATGGACACAGAGCCGATTGGTCTGGTCTCTCTGAGCCTCTCTGTGTTTCTCTTACTGATGGTTACGATGGGCGGGCAGCTGACTTCCGCCTGCAGCGCCTCCTTGGCAGAGTGCATCTCGGCCGCCGGCGCACTGACGTACCAGTGCCACGCCTCAATCAGCTCCTTCATCTTATCGGGATTCGCGACGTCCTGCAGCTGCAGCGAGATGCTGGCAAGAAGGACGGCCCCATGTGGGCACTTTGGCCTCGGTTTGAAGAGAAGAGGAGTGGCGGCGGTCTGCATACAAATACACCATCACATCCAATGATCTATCCATCCATTCGCCCATCCTATCCATCCTATTGTAAGGCTTACGATGGTAGGCTGGTCGACGATGGAGCCGCCCGTGGCTGCGTCACCAATGAGGCGGCGCGTCACCGTGTGTTGACCCTCTCCCTCTCCTCCTCAGCTCAGTCGCGCCAAAATACCACCTGGATGTCTCCAGCACCTTCTCCATCACGACGCGACAGTGTAGCGGGGACGACAGCCTGCTTCGAGCAGTCTTGCAGAATGATAGCAGCCGGTGATGAAGGACTGTGAGTAGCTCACTGATTAAGCGAATGGTTCGAGTTGTGCGATGGTTGCTGTGGATGAGCCATCCGAATATAAAATGTAGGCGGCGATGGGCTGAGACACACACCCAAAACAATGGAATATGGCGACGCCGAGACATGCACCGCCTATCGTACACCACTGCACACACAGACACACACAGACACAGACAGACACACACAGACAGTCAAACAGATAGTGAGCGGGCATGCAGACACGGGCCGTCACCCACTCACCATTGTCGGGCTTCATGTCGCGATAGACTATTCCTAGTCGGTGCATGTGGGCGACGGCGTCCAGCAGCTGTGTGACGATGGCCAGCCTCTCCCTCCTCGTCAGGCCAGCCGACTCGAACACTATCTGCACACAAGTGCACTCAGAATGGATATCCCTGTCGACCACACCACCACGTGGTTCCTGCTCACCTCATGCAGGGGGCGGCCGTTGGCCTCTTTGGTGTAGATGGCGCTGCCATCTAGATAAGACTCGGCCGCTTTTATGGCCACGAGGTGGCGATGCTCTCCAGCCGCCCGCACCCGGCCCAGCACCCTGCGCAAAGAGCACCGCACCCGGTGTGCACATTGTTGATGGATATGCGCCATCCGGCTGAGTACGATCATACCTGGCCTCCTGGAGGACGCAGTGTATCTTCTGCTCCTCCTAGTAGTTCGGGTCCCACTCATCGTCGGCCATGCTCCCCTGTGGCGGCTGTCTGTCGGCCGTATACGCCGTACAGGGCGTCTTCTTGACGACCACACCGCCTGCACAAATGACCAGCCAGACGACTCAACCCCTCAATAACAGCATGCGATGCAGTGCAATCGAACACCTACCTGCCATCTTGTCGTGTGCGTGTGCGACATTGAAAACGAGCGGCGCCGTCCCGTTGCGCCTACCCCTCATCCCGTCGATCAGACACTGCTGGTGGGGCTCGCCGTGGACGGCGAGTAGCGGCGGCCGCTCCTGCCCTCCTCCCGCACCACCGGCACCCCCAGCTCCCTGCACACGTTGGCCGCCGACCGCTGAAAACTAATCAGTCCGGTAAGGCGCTGCAGGAGGCTTCCAAATGAAGCGCTCGCCCCGCGCCGCCGACCAGGCTGCTCGTACGAGCCCCGCCAGCCAATGGTTCTCGACGAAGTCCTTGAAGGACTGGACGTCCGGCTGGCTGGGGCCGTAGAGCAGCTGGGCCGCCTCGTGGAACAGCCGATAGGCTGCAGGCAAGGTGGGCGGCATGCCGTCGGCAGGGAGCCAAAACGGCTCGGCGTCAACGAACTCCGGGTAGCTGGCCGCTCGCCGTCCTGCAGTGGTTGACAGTAGTGGGTGCACCACAATCAAGCACAGCATGCGAGCAAACAGCAGAGCACATGTGGTGCCAGTTCAGCTGTACACTAACCTTGGCGTGGGTCCAGTGGGTTGGGCAGCACTGGCACATTCTCAAGATGTGTCGTGGCGCTAGGCCGCCGGCGCCAGTTGGTGCTGTCTACTGAGAAGTCTACTGAGCTCCGCGGAAGGCCTTCCATTATCACGCGATGGCCTCTGCAGCAGGCCTCTCTCTCTCGTACACAGGCAGAACAGTGGCAGGCGATGGCGTTTTGCTTCTCCCCTTTGAATGCCCTCTCCTCTTGCAAGCTGAGGCAGTGGGGTAGATCGAAATGAATGGGGTTGATGTGGAGTGGCACACACATGGTCGCGGCGGCGAATGAGTCACGCGAATATAAAATGAAGGCGGCGATATTTAGGCTGAGACACACACCCAAAAAGAACACGTGTCTCGCGTGTACTTATGAGTGAATTGCTCAGCGGACCTACCGACAATGCGCCCGCTGGCCGTGCTCATCACTTGGTCGGCCTGCTTGGGGCCTAGCAGTCGGCGATATCGCGATTCCCTCACTTCGGTCTCGATGTTCATTTTGGCGGTCACCCACACGTCGCTGTGGCTGTCCATGAGATCGTCAGGGTGGGTATCGGGATGCAGGTGCCGCCACGGGGAGGTGGTGAGCTCGGGCGACTGGTACTTGGGCGTGACGGCTGCATAGCAGCTGCTGTCGACGTAGACATACGTCCGCTCGCCCGCCGACCCGAAGTCGACCACCGTCAGCTGCCGAGACCGCCTATCGTACACCACTGCACACACATTCACACAAACAGAGAGAATGGACATGAGTGAATGGGCGTCCATCCATCCGGCTGAATGATGGTGTGTATCTCTCTCTAAGATATCTGTCTGTTTACGATTGCCTGGCATCATGTCACGGTAGACAACGCCGTGTCGGTGGATGAAGGCGACGGCCTCGAACAGCTGCCGGACGATGGCCAGCCTCTCCTGAAGTGCGATGCCGGCTGCGACGGCGCCCTTACTATGCAATATCTGCACAAAGGCACCAATGGGTTCAGGCAGACCTCAGCAAATGAACATCCGTGTGTGTACGAGTGTGTGTCTTGTTTCTACTTGCCTCGGCTAGCGAGCGGCCCTTGGCCTCGGCCATGAACAGGGCGCACGAGTCCAGGAGGAACCGGGCGCCTCTGATGGCCACGACGTTCTTGTGGTCGCCCGCCGCCTTGAGATGGCCGAGCACGCTGAAGGAAGAAAAGGCACAAAGAGAAGCCCGTGCGTGTGCACGTCTGTCTGTCTGCGTGTACGTGTCTGTTGGATACCTGGCCTCATGCAGGACACAGTGCATCTTCTGCTCTTCCCAGCCCTCTCCGTCCGGAACACTCCTCGTCCCCCGTGATGGTCTCTGGCGGCGGCTGCCTCTCCGCCGTGTACCCTACGCAGGGCGTCTTCGCTACCACCTGGCCGCCTGCATGCCATGCACACACAGGAGTGAGTCCGGACAGTAATGGATCTTCATCTCTGTCCCTGACTGACACGCACATACCTGCCAATGTGTCGAATACGGGCATCACATGGCAGATCGTTCGTATCCTCTGCTGCTCCACTGTGCGTGGGCTATAGGCGATGAGACAGCGGAATATAAAATGTAAGCAACGATGGCCTCTCCTCCCCCGGTTGCCATTGCCTCCTTGTCAGCCTCCAGCTGCTTCTTGGCCTCCTGCAGTCCACACACACAAGCGGGACACACGAGTATGTGCGCATTTCCGGCTGCTATGTGCATGAAGGTCTGTCTGCCTGTTGCGCACCTCGCCCTCCTTCAACATCTCAATGAAGGCCCTCTGCGAGAACAGCGGGAGAGATGGACACGACACAAGCATTCACACAGCACCGTCCGGCATATTTGTGTGAGTGTGGTATGCAATCATACCTGCACCTTCTTGTGGCAGCGGAGGCCTCTGAATTCATGTCGTTCCGGTCGAGGGATCCCCCCGCCTGCATTGTCTGACGGGCTGTCACCTCTGCAGCCAGCCAACACGCCCAAGAGATAAGTGAGGCGTGTAGGGGGAAGGGGGAAGGGATGGAGACACGGCGTCTCAGCTGTCTCACGCACTTACCCTTGTCAGACGGGAACGCCGCGCCTCTGTCGGCTCTCCCTTGCCTCCCCTGTCCAAACTCTGCACTCAATCAGCACAGACACAATCAAAACATGACTCAGAGGTGCATTGGTAAGGAAGGGATGGAAACACATCGTTGGTGTCTCACCTTGGTGACCGTTGACCTCCATGGCATCACGTGCGAATCCTAATCCCCCTGCCGTCGTGCGGTTTCGGGCTTCCTCGCCGTGGCGCTCATGGACCCAGCCACAGCCATCCTGGGTGTCGATCGTGGTGCTCGACGTCTTGGTGGTCTTTCGTGCCTCGTCCTCCGTCTTGTCGTGCGGCTTCCGCATCAGCCCGATGCAGCGACTGGCCAGCTCTTGCGGCCCGACCTGCTGTAGTGCTGCCTCCGGGTGGGCGGCCTCTCGCCTCCCGTCCGCTGAACGTGTAGGGCTGGAATGGTCGCTGCTAGAGACACACATACACACACACGTCTGTTATGCAACGAAAGGCAAGAGAATGTCACTGCGTTCATGGTTTGTGTGCGTACCGTCGCATTACGTTGCGTGAGTGCACGTGTGGCAGGACAAGACGGGGGCATGGCCGTCATCTGCAGAGAGCAGAGGACATATTAGGACCTGGTGCGGTGGAATCCCAGCCAGGGGTCGTCCACTCGGCTGCATGACCTAGATGATCAAATAGAGAGGCATCCATCCATCCATCCATCCATTCATTCATTGCAAATCTTACGATGGGCGCCAGGTTCACAAAGTCGCTCCAGCTCGTATGAGTGCACCGTACAGGACATCAGGGCGCGACGCTGAGCCGAGAACCCCTGTTTCGACTGACACACACACACACACACACACACACACGTGTCATGTGTGAGGGATGTATCTTCGCGTCGTGTGTGCTCCTCTTGCGTCCCACCTTGTGTTTGAGTTGTGAGGGGGGCTCGTTGGGGTCCTTCTTGAGTATCTTGACGGCGAAGGCCTCGACGTTGCGCCACAGGCGGATCTGCTCCGGTACATTTTGCCGGCGAACAAACATCTGCACCACCGAGAAGCCTCCCTGGCCAAGCACCATCTGCAGATCAACACAGACAACGATTCATGCGTGCAGAGGCCACAAACATCAGCAGTATGTCGGCTGACCGCAGGATAATGGGTGTTGAGGAGGGTCTCCGGATAGTCGACGTCTGGGAGGTAGTATGGCTGCAGCGGGTCCCCCGTCATCCCCGTGGCCGCGAAGAAAGCACGCACATCATCCACACCTGGATTGACAAAGAGAAAGTAATGGAGATCATATCATCTTTGGGCGTGCTTCTCGTCCCTCACTTATGGGTGCGATGGGTGGGCAGCTCACTTTCTCCCGGACGAGCTCCTTGGCGGACTCTATCTCAGGCTGTGTGGCGGTCACCTGCCACTCGAGCGCCTTGAGCACACGTGTCATCACCGCTGCATCATTGATGTTCCTGCACTGCCTCGAGAGGGACGCCAGCAGCTTCGGCTGCCAGGGGCAGTTGTCTGCTGGTCTGTGCAGAAGTGGGGACCAACGTGTCTGCACACAAACACGGAAATCCCATCTATGGATCCCATCCATCCATCCATCCACCCATCCATTCGTCCATTGCATTGGCAACGCTTACGACGATTGGCAGTCTCACAATGGAGGCGCCCGTTTCGTCGGCCGTATGGCGGCAGTCGATGTTCTGAGAAACAAGACAAAAGAGAGAAACTTCGAGTCTTCTTCACAATGTGAAGAGCCTTTGGCAGCGGCGGCAGCGACGGCTTTTTCTGCTGGAAAAAGTGCATATTTCGAATCTCTCACACGATACACTTGGGTACCGTCTACCTTCCTGTCGCCCATGTCATCATGGAGGAAGCTCCCGATTAGGTGCAAGACACAACAATGAATTATTCGAAATACGCAATTCATCGATTAAAAACGTCTGCTTTTCTTTCCTTTTTCGTCGGACCAACGGGTTGCATGCCTGACAGCAGCGGACGAAGACATTGAAGTGTGCAGTGAAGATCAGACTCAGTGGGGCACTTACCAACCTTCTGAGAAGTGTGTCGAGAAAGGGAGACGGCGAAACCGAAGAAAAGGACCACCTCGTCTGCAGACAGGCACGACGAAACAAGATACATGAGCACACACACAGCCACGAAATGCATCATACGTTCATCCCTACACAGCATCCATACAGCGCAACTCCATCGCCACAGCCAAGAGACATAACGCATGAGGTACATACCTGATGATGATCTCGTTGATGCGAGAGGAAGCTGCGTGAGCCCTATGCTGACCTGGCAGGCGCTAAGCAAGTGAGGCGTCACCGGCGGAAACCTTGGCCGGGGCACGGCGGTGGAGGAGGGAAGAGACGGGGGAGGTCGGGACGAGTTGGGAGGCGTGGGATGGGATGAGGGGCGTAGCACAAGCCAATAACCGTCCGAAAAGAAGAAGAAATGAAACATCTGTGGCTGGGAGAAGGCAGGAAGCCAAACGCGGACGGAAATTCTGAAAGCTGGTCTTCAAATTCGCAGTATTGCTTGTCTTCGTCTCATCGCGAAAATCTCGCCGGCCTCTGTGGCTGGTGATGAACGCTTTGATGCGCTTGCGCAGCTGGCGCTCGCTAACGAGCGGCTCGAAATAATACGACGCCCGCCAGCCTACCGTCAGGGCGACCGTCGCCGACGACCTCCTCGCAAAGTTCGGCGGCAGCGGCAGCATGATGTTGTGTTGCGGTTCTGCCGCACTCAAAAGGGGCAAAAGTGGGGCAGAAGGGGCAAATCGTGTAGGTGGCCGTGGGGCGAGCGGGGAAAACAGGTGAAAGTGCTGTGTCCGTGCCAAAAAAGAGCCGTCTCTCGTCGCGAATTCAGTGGTGCGGGCTAAACCCTACACCTACAAACCCTAAGTGTTATGATGACGCGCGTCCCACTCATTGCTGGCTGCCGGGGACCGGCCAGGAGGCTTGCACCACCCCAGTCGGCCATATCACAGCAGCCGCAACCACGGGAGTAAGGACCAATGCGTGCAAATCATATCATCAGCAACGCATTGGTCTTGTGTGCGTGTGTGAGCGCAGGCTACACACATCTCGGTCTGCGCATGCACGCCTGCCGACCGGCGAGACTGTGTTGCGCCAGCTGACCAAGGCGGAGCTGGCTGCGTCAGAGCTCAAGGAGACGCTCCTGCACAGGCAGCACCTGTGGCCGCAGATCGGACCGCAACACCTCTTTCGCGTCTGGAGAGTGTAGGCGCGCACACAGATACACAGAGCACATGTGCAGTGGACGGCATCTCTGTGTTGTGCGGTTGGTGTGTGCGCCTCAGGTGTCAGGATGAGTATGATTATCGAGTGGGTCTGTGGGCGCTGAACCTCTACTACAACCTGGGCCGGCCGCACGACCACCAGCAGACGGCGGACAGACTCATAACGCTCACACTCACCACACAGCCTGACAACCTCGATGAACCTCTGGAGGTGCGGTAGACGCAAACCATGTATGGCCAACACGCGTCATGTGCCTTCGGGAGTGTTTGCTGCTGTGGTGCTTTGGTACAGGTGTTGCGTAGCTTCAATGCGTTCCTGAGCCACCCGCCCTCGTCCTTCATGATCCACCTCATCATGGTACACACATCGGCTGATATATGTAGTGAGTCCATCCACACACGTCGATGGCTTTGTGTGTTGCTGTTCTGATCCATCAGGACCACTACCTGGACCGCCAGGAGTACTGGAGGGTCCGCCAAGTGCTCCAAGTCTGCAGGGAAAACTGGTTTGTGCGCTACGCTACACACAAGCCAGAGAGGCAATCAGTGCCATTTCTCATCTATATGTGGCTGTGTGAGTGAGTGTGGGCGTGCAGGCAGCTGCCTGTGTCGGGGAAGACGTATGCCTTTGCGATAGAGGCGATGTTGAGGCTGCCGGCAGATGCGAATCCCCTGGAAGAGGCCATGAGGGTCAGCAATTGATTCAGCCAGTCAACACAACCCGACCTCAACACGCCATACCGACGGACCGGTGCTCGTCCGTGCAGGTGTATGACGATTCCAAGCACATGGAGGAACCACTGAGCATCGACACACACCTGCGGCTATTCGGTGGGCAGCTGACACACACACACACACACAGATGGCTGTACAACACGCACCCCTCGCTCTCAGATTTCGCCATGGGTGAGTACGAGGACCTCCGCGCGTCGCTGCTCGAGACCATCAGCCCATCCACCGCCGAAGTAGCCAGCAAGGAGGGCGACGGCACACGTGACGACACACCGGCCAACAACATCAACAAGGGAGAGACTGGCAATGATGACGTCGATGCGCCGTTGCCCTGGGACGATCCGGCTGTGAGAGCGATGAGGGCCGCTGGGAGGATAAAGGTCAGAAGCGCCAGACGGCCACTGTGCGATGAATGGATGGACACAATGTGTGTGTTGTTCACTGCAGAGTCGATTTGTGTGGGAGTGCGGCGACGCTGAAAGGGGGTGTGGCCTGGGTCTTCATGCCCTGTGGTCGCTTGCATGGCTGCAGTGCAGGATGCAGCACGACATACCCCAACACCACTGGTAGACAATAGACAGAAGACAGAGAAGGATAGACGTGAGGGCGGGTTAGAGCCATCCATCCATCTGCGAATGACTGCATGCAGGAGTGAGATCGACCCCACTTTGGTGCATCCCCCTCCCCAGCCGTATTTGCAGCCACCCTCCCCTTCGTCTCCCGCGCCACCATGGCAGTCACTCGTGCAGCAGGGCATCAGGAACGCCACACACACGGCCGGGTGCGCACGCAAGGCAGACATCACACCAGCAGAAGAACGCGCAATGGTGCGTGTGTGGATATGTCAGGTTCAGCACAAGCACTCCCGAACGGTTTGTGACCATGCTCAAGCATGGGGACCTGCCTGATGCCGATGAGAATGAGTGCGCTGCGGTAAGCAACGCTATCGCCCATCCATCCGTGCATTCCATCCGTCTCCTGTGTCGCGTGTGTCTTGTCTCAGGTGTTAGCCGAGGCGCAAGTGGTGCTGGGTCGGTTTTTCCCGCTGCGGCCGACCAAGGAGAAGGCGTGAGACGAAGAATGCTGAGGAAGAAGATACCTGTGTGTGGAGAGCCTTCAAGGCTCGCTGAGATGCCGCTAGATGAGCTGAGAGAGTGTCTGGCTGTCGTCGAAGGCCTGGTGGGCCTGGTGGGCAAGCTGGAGGAACCCGCTCAGCTTGGGGGCTCTCGCGCATCATGTCCACACGTCTATGATGATAGCTGGGTCCTTCATCATTTTCAGGCAGGTAGACAGACGTGTGTGAATGAATGGGTCGCATGGATTGTATAGACCAATGATTGACGTGTAGCTAGAAGGTATGCTGTGGCTGCTCGGGAGAGGTATCCCCTCGTACGTCACTCTGGTCGACGATGGACCAGAGGGACGGCCGGGAGGAGCCCTCAGCATCAGCAGCCACGGCGCACCCAGCTCAGCTCCATACACTTAGACATGATGACATGATGATATGATGAGTGCTGCGGATCGGATCCATCACCAGATTGATTAGACGTCGTGTCGTCGACATAAGGAGACACCCAAACCAAGACACAGACAGAGTCCATTCACATATGAATCCACCCGGCGATATGCATCACTTGCCGTCCGCCTTGGCCGCCCCCCTGTCTTTCTTCTTTTTGATCCGCAGACTCACGCCCTTCGCAAAAGCCTTTGTCCGCTCATCCCTCTCGCCACCCTCGCCCTTCTCTGTTTTGACCTCCCCACCCACTCCCCCGACCCCTCCCTCTGTCAATGTCTTGGTCTCCTCCTTCACGAGCAACGGAGCTGGTGACGTCTTGGTCTCAGTGTGGCCAGGGGGGACCGAAAGAGCCACGTTGACAGTGCGCCATTGAGTGTAGTGTGGCGTGTCGCGCAGCTCCTTGTCGGCAGCTAATGCGCGGCGGCAGAGGGAGAGGAAGTCAGTGGTCGGCCTGCTGCGGGACAGCTGCACACACACACAAACACACACACACACAACACAAGGACGGTGGATGTATCAATGTAGTCGTGGACGTGCCCATCTCACTGACCGTGAGCTCAAGCCCCAGTAGGTGCTGCAGCCGGTGCTTCTCAATCACCGGCCCAACAGACGTCTCGAACCGACTCTGACGCTTCTCCAGCTCCTCCATCACACCCTCACCACCATCATTATCAGCCCTCTGCGCGGTCTCCTCTTTGTTGATCGCCTGTTCCTGATCTACAAGTGGCGGCAATGGGGGTGGGGGAGGGGGCTGCTGAGCGGCCACCATCCACTGGGGCTTCACGTCGAATCGACGCTTGGGCGGCGACGTGCCTGAGACCAGCCACACACATCCACACACCCATTCATTCACCTGTGTGTGCAGATGCAAACCGACTTGGCTCACCTGGTGGTGGTGGTGTGGGCGGGTGTCCGCCGATGGAAGACGACGATGCGACGGAGCTGATGAGTCGCGGCTGCTGATGCTGATGAGACGCGAGCGCAGGTGAGCCAGCAGGAGAGCGCACAGGAGGGGGTGGTGCTGGTGTTGCGGGGGAGGGAACTGGGAGAGGGAAGGGGTCGGTCTGGACAGACGCGTGGAGGGGGGTGGGGTGGTGGGCCGCGAGAAAGCAGCGGAGGGCATGTTTCTCCTGCACCCATGCAGACAGGGAGGGACACGTGTGGGTGGATTGTATTCTCTCTGTGTACATCTATCTGTCGGTGTACAGTGCCGTCTCTCTTACTTTGCGGAAAGTGTCGAAGAGCGCTCTGTTCTTGTCCACCTGGTCGAAGTGGTCCATGACCAGCTTGAGCAACCCCAACTGATCACCGCTGCACACACACAAGACACAAGCCACATGGATCCATCCATCCATCCAGATGCAAGCACCTGAGGCTCATTGCATGGCCGTCGTCCTGCTTTAGTGTCTGTGAGGTTGGCGAGGCGCCCTCCGGTTGGTGCTGCTTCTCTTGCTGGGGCTGCTGCTGCTGTTGTTGTGCGTCGCCCTTGCTGAGTTCCTGCAGGCGTTTCTCGATCATGGGCAGCCAAGTCTCCTTCAGCTTGGACTTGGCGTACTCCTGGTGCCACACACACACGGACACAGACACAGACACCCAGAGAGGGGTGCGGATGACGTTCACGCACGCAGATGAGTGAGTGGGTGGAAGCGTATACCCTTCTGAACCACTGGTCCAAGTGGCCGGCGGCGTCAATGCCAATCAGAAGCCTGGACCGAACAACACACGATCCATGTGTGTGTGTGTGTGTGATGGCTGCACAGACGTACATGGCAAATGCGGTAAGGTAGCACTTGACCCGGTGCGCCTTCCGATAGCCCTCTAGACAGAAATTCGCGACAGACAGCCACGTCCCACCCTGGTGCTGCATCACACCACCATGACACACACACATGATCGTATACCACATCTGTGCCCACCCACCATATGCCGTGCATTCTCGCGGAAGAGACAGAGGTAGTCGGTCCACAGCTTGATTTGCGTGACGCTATCCTGCATGAAGGGATGGACGGGATGCACGGGAAAGACACGCACAGGAGTGTGACGACCCCTCCTTCTTGCCCAGTGCGTCCCTCACCGACCGTCTCAGCGCGTATCTGCTTGTACATCTCGGAGACCCTCTCCCACTCACAATCCTTCCTGTGGGAGACGAGACGCACAGACACATCGATGCCATCTCCCTCCCCCTCTCACATACGTACGCTTACAGGAAGGCCTGTTCGGCTTCACTGAGGTCGCTCTCCCTCACGCCCCAGTCGATGGAGCCCCTGACCCCCCACCAGCCCACACCCGCCCCCTCCTCAGCTGCATCAGCTGCCGCTGCCACCAGGTCACCAACACCACCAACCATCACCTCCTCTCTCATTGCAGCCTCGTGGACAGGGGACGGCACAGCAACACCCGAACCGGAAGCAGCGGCAGCAGGTGCCACGCTGCTCGTCTGCTCGTCCTTCTTCGTCTTTTTGCTGGCTCGTTTGACGTCTGGCGTTGAGTCGGAGTCCGATCGGCTGCTGGACGAGGGAGGGGATGGGGGCGAGCGGGACCTCTTTGACTTGGGTGAGGGTCTGCTGCGGCCGCGGGGCGGTGGGGGCGACCGCCGACGGCTGTGGCGAGATCGTGAGCGGGATCGACTCCTCCGACTGCGCCTGCACCGGTCCACATATCCATCCATCCATCAATCCATCCATCCGTCCGCTTTGGTCGGACAGATATCGCACCCGTGATGATCTCGGTCCCTATCGCGACTGCGGCTTCCTTTTCCGCGTCGTCTGCCCTCCCTCTCGTATCGGTGGCCCCTCTCAGACGGCGACCGCCGCCGCCGCGGCGATGGGTGGGAGGGGAAGCGCGGCCGGGAGGGGGGCCGACGCGATGACACACGGTCAGGAGGACTGCATGCATTTGGCAACAGAGCGGCGAGTAATGGTTCATCTTTCATCTCTCTGTCTTGTTTGTGCGTGCACACGTACCTCCTCCGCCTATCTCTGTCTCGATCTCGGTGTCTGTCCGGCGGGGACCGTCGTCTCCTCGGCGAGCGATCGCGGGAGTCGGGTGAAGGCCGACTGCGGCCGCCATCACGGCTGCGCCTGAAATGCAGTGACAGCACCGTTGCACAGGTCGGTTGGATTATCCCTCTCCCTTACCGGTCGATGTCCCTCGGTCGGTCCCTGCTGTCCTTCCTTGGCGCCCGCCTCTCCTCCCTCTCCCGTCCACGATCTCTCTCACCCGCCCTCTGCTTGTCCTTGTCCCCCTCACCACGACGACCATCATGAGGCCGTGGCAGGGGCCTGGGGAGGGAGGGTGTGGCCAAGGTAGATGCACACCACACACCATATTTCTGCATGTGTTTCGGTGGTCGGGTGTCGGTGGTGTACCTTGACCTGGGGGTCTCCTTCTCCTTCTTGTCCTTGTCCTTGGTCGACACCTGGCCCCCCCTCTTCAGAGGTGACCGCGACTCATCCCTCCGGCCCCCCTCGGCCTTGCGCTTGTCACCGTTGTCTTCTTCGTCTTCTTTTGCGTAGGGGTCTTCTGGCGGGGCTGGCGGCTTGCTGTCCTCCTTGGTCTCCTCTGCATAGGGGTCCTCTGGCGGCGGCTGCGACTGCGGTAGCGGTAGCGCTGATCCTTCCTGCTCACCCGAGTCGCCTGCCTGCTGCTCTTCTCCGGCTTTGTTGTCTTTGTCTGGCTCCGAGCTCGGGATGTTCATCAAGACCTCTGTAGACAACATACACACGCGCGCATCGGATGTTTAGTTTAGGGCGTGTATCCTATTCTCTGTCCTACCGGTGTCCTGCTCCTTGTTGTCTTGTTTGAACGATGACCTCACACTGGTCAGGTTGGTCACGGGGCTCATCTGCGGCGGGACACCCAGCCGACCACTCTCACCCTCACGCTCCTCCTGCTCACGGTGGACAGTGTCGATCTGCTCGGACAGCGACGGAGGAGCGACAGGGTGGCTAGGTGGCTGCTCTGGCTTTGGTGCGTCCTCTATGTCCTCGGCCGGCTGCTGTACCGTGATTTCCTGAACAAGGGAGAACCAGCAGCTCTGTGCAAGTGTGTGCATCGCCGATGTGTGTGTGCGTGTGCGCTGAGTACCATCTTGTCAGCTGCGATGGGCTGTTCCTGCATCGGCGGTGCGATTGGTCCCTCCGTGTTGGCTTGTTCTTCTTGTGTGTCCTTGGTTCCCTCCTTGCTGTCTTCCTGTTGGCATGGTGCCTCGGGAGTGACGATGATGTCTGAAACACACACAGGCCACATGCAGGACAGCAGCGTGTGTGTTCCCTTATCCTTCTCCATGGCAGCGACCTTGCTCCCCGGCAGCTACTTGGTCACCCTCTCTCTCTCCCTCTCCTTCGTTGAGCTGTCCCTTCTGCTCTGGTTGATCTTGCGGTTGCATGTCGTCCTCGTCCTCATCTTCCTCAGCAAAGAGCGCCTTCCAATTCACAGCCGGCCTCTCCTGCTGCTGCTGCTGGGGCTGCTGGGGCTGCGATGGACTCACACCCTGGACCACAATCTTGTCCTCATCAACAAGGTCCACCAGCATCGCCTCGTCAGCGACGGACACGGCAATCGGTGTGATGATCCCATCCCGCTCGACAACCTCAGTGAGCCCCCCGTTCTTGGTCATGAATTGAAGCATCAGGTCGATGTCGGTGGGCGAGCAGCGCAGCGGCGTGGTGGTGTGCACCTGGTTTGGGCCTGCCGAGTGGCTGAGGAAGCCCAGCAGCGGCTCTCGATGGCCGTAGGATGAGGGATTCGGCCGCAGAGAGGCTGGCAGTGCGCCGAACATATCGCGTAGGCGGTCAACGAAGCCGTCGATAGCGGGATCCATCTCGAGAGATCAGAGATTACGGCTCCTTGTCGAGAGGAGGGCTAGCCGACGAGGGTAGCTTGTAAGCGGCAATCATCGTTTTGACAGATGCGGCTCTGGAGGTGATCAAGTGTGCTCGCCTCATCTGCGCTTCGTCACCTCCAAAATCGCATCCTGCTCGATCCCCGTGAATCGGTCCCCACCCTGCCGAAGGGGGGCTCCGAGACGCCCACAGGCGTGCATGCATGTCCATTGCAGGTACCCCAATGGCATGCGTGCCACCCCCCCGGCGGTCCTGGCGGGTCGTCCAGTGAGATCCCTTCTGCAGACAGTCCAGTGCGTTTGTATCGATGCCGCTGCAGAGAGAGCCGCTTCCCCCTCTGCAGTTGAAGGCCCCCTCCAATCGCCTGCCACCCTTCCTTCCCCTCACAAAGCCGCCTGACACATTGGTGCAGCTAGCCCCACTGCACAGGATGCGAAGCGCCTCGTCAATCGCCGCGTCTGAGTCCCAACGCACTGTCCACGTCAACGTCGACCGCCTGAGGTCACTCAATCGCGAGACGGCCGCGAGACGGAAGCGCAGCCAGCAGAGGAGGGAGCGCTCGTTGCAAGAGGAGGAGGCAAGAAGGCAGCAGTCACTGCACCAGCGGAAGATGGCACGTGGGGCGTTCCACCGCTATCTGGAGGAGGGAGGCTGCGGACGGAAGAAGACCGCTGGCGCCACGGCGGCATCATCAACCCCCCAGGCCCATCTATTGGCTTCTGCACCGGCTTCTGTCGCTCCGAAAAGACGACTTGGGGGAGAGGCGATCAATGGAAGCGCCGCCGAGACACCGCCACCTGCGCTTGGGCAGCGGGCGCTTCTTTCCCCATTGGACAACAGGCCAATGATGGTTGCCACAGCTATTCAGAAGAAGACGGCCGGCAAAGACAAAGAGCGTGTGGATAAGACGTGCTCCAGCAGCTCCAGCGGCATCACTGACGACCTCTGGCCAGAGTATGATGTGCTCGACGACTCTCCCGATGACCCACCGGCTATCGTATCGCCGAGAACGCCCCCTCAATGTCTTGCCAAGCCGCCGCATGAACGGAGATCGCTTCCTCGCATCCTCCCGCCCCTCCACGTCAGCACTCCGTCAACAGTGCCGACGTCTGGTGACCTCTCCATGCGGCCGCCATCTCGGACGACTGCGGCTCAGCTGGATAAAAGCGAGAAATGTGGGATTTGTGTCGCAGACAAGGAGAAGGTGATGGTGCAGCCGGCTGCCGTTGCGAGAGGTGACACGGGGAGTGGCCCGATGCATGTTCTGAGCGACTCCAGCGGCTTCTTTGAGCTATCGTCTTCCTCTGACGATGAGAGAGAAGAGTCGAGGAGGGAAGACGCCCCTGCTGCTGCTGCCCCCGCAGCGACACAAAGACAGACGACAGCCAAGCCGCCTCTTCCCCCGGTCCCTCCCCCACCCATGATGCTGTCATCGTGCGAAGACTCGATAAAGAAGAGGTGCCTGCTCGCCCCACCTGCCGTCCGCCCACCGACGTCTGTCATCACGGGCATGACCTTCATCCCGTCGCCTGTGTGCGCCATTGAAGACACGGCTCCCTCGTCCCCTCTGATCACTCTGCCTCCCCCAGCCAGACAGCGCTTCCCACACGCCAACGCCACAGCAGGAAGCAACAAGGCGGAAACTATCATGCCTCTGGCTCAGGCTCAGGCTCAAGCTCATGCAGCGGACGATGACCCGTACATGAAGGCGCTGACGGCCGAGGAGCGGGCGATTGAGGCAGAGGTGCTGAGGTGGGATGTCAAGCTCATGAACCGGTCTGGCTGGAAGCGGGGGGGAGGGCAGCCGCTAGAGCAGAGGCAAGAGACGCTGGGAGGGGGAAATGAAGGTTCTGAGAGAGACATGGACAACACTGGCGAGCCGGTTGATGGAGTGGGGGGGCAGTGGGTCCGGCCCGGATATCTTGAAGGACCTCTGCAGCCACTGGGGGAGACAGCAGCAGGTCACACGTCTCTCCTCTCCTGTCGTGTCTCATGCCATATTTCTTGCCCATGCAGACATCGAGTCCTCCCTGGAGGCATCCTTGCGCCGTCTTGACCGCCAGCTGGCTGCCCTGCAGGCCAAACATGCCAACGACAACACCACCACGCCGGCCAGGACAAGAAGCTTGCAGCCTCACAGGAGGCTGACGCCAGTGCCACAGACAATAGCACAACAGAGACACAACGACACAATCGGTCAGTGAGCGCTCTAAAATGAGGCACAGAGACACGTACTCACTATTCCGTGCATCCGTGTACACAGCCATTCGTCCATTCCCTCCCTCAGTGCCGCCCTGTTTCGCCCGTCGATCGCGGCACCCCATAACACGCCTCCCCCCTCTCAACGGTGGCGCCAAGGTCGTCATCTCGTCAGGCACGCCAACATATGCACACAACGACTCGACGGCCAGCCCGGTGTCGGCCGTGACGCTCCCGCCGATTGTAGGCGGTGGGGCGAGGTGGCGTGGGAGGACTGGTGTGAATGGTGAGAGGGGTGGGTGCGATGGGGGGTATGGGTATGCCTGTAGTGGGCGGCGTGGTGGTGCTGGCGTGGCACTGGATGAGGGCCGGGTGCGGGTGAATCGAGAGGTGAAGGAGATGTTGTTTCAGTGCCACTGACTGACAGGTGTATGTGTCATACGTGTGTGTGTATGGATCGAACGAGTACACTTGACGCAGGGCAACCAGGTGTGTCCGTGTCTCTTGAATCAAGCATAGACTTCCGTCCGTCATCCACAAGGCAAACCAGCCACACACAAACTGCCTCTGCACGGTGACGGTTCCATGGACGCATGCTTCGCGACACACATGCGCCAACATCAGGCTAGACAGCGTGCGCGTGCGATAGATGGACGGTTCATCTCAACAAAACAAGCAACCATCGATGTGCGTCTCGGCAGGTGCAGGTCAGGATCAGGAGGATGACGCCGAACGTGCCACATGACGTACGCCGGACAGAAAAGAAGCAAACGAACGGTTCGTATGCTCGTTGTGTCTTTCCGGCCGACGCACGTCATCCCGGCAAGCGTTCGACTCCAACACCAGGAGCCATTGTCGCAGTAGCAACACAGCCAATCTACACACTCTTGCTTGCATGCTTATCATCGCCTCCCCACTGGCAAAACCAGCAGCGGCACGTCAGCCTAGTCTGTCGGGCAAGCCTTCGCCCTACTCCGCCCCCGCGTCGCATCCCACCCCGGATGTGGGGGATGGGATGTGGGGTGGGGGAGGAGCACACGAATGCTCGCTCGACACACCGCAGCTGGCCAACCCGTACAATTGACAAACCGCCCCCACACACGAAAAAGGCCCAAACCCCCGAAACCCCTTTAAGCAAGCACCACCCCACCCCGCCCATCCTTCTATCAGCTTTACACACCCACCAAACCACAACCCACCCCATTAGTCAGCCATTCATTCACTCAGTCAGTCAGTCGACCTCTTCCACCTCCACATATAAGCGGTTGAACGCGTACACTACCATCATCCCGCGGTATGCCTCGCCATCCACGCTCCTGTGCTGCACACACACATCCATGCCACACACGACAGCGCAGCACCATGGATGGGTGGACGGTCGTGTGTGTGGCGGTCACTCACCTCTTGTATCTCCGGGAAGCCCTGCAGCCGCCACGCGGCATCGAACCCCGGCTTGAGGCGCGTGAGGGTGGGTATGTGTGGGATCGCAACACGCTCGTCGCGGAGCACACACCACACATGCACCTCCGATATGTCTGCACATACAGAGGGAGGGAGGGAGGGAGGGAGGGGCAAATGGTGCTCCTCGTGTGTGTGCATGAGCGACGTGTGTGGAGTGCCGTGCGGGTCGTACGTTTGGCAATGGTGGCGTGGCAGGACTGGAGCGTCATGAAGACGCGCGCCAGGAGCCGTGACCGGCGGATGGGGTCGGGCAGCGGCGATGTCGACAACAAGCGCTCTGACCACACAGACACAGACAAACATTCACACACAGAGATATCAACAGACAGACGGGCACACTGCGCTAAGTAGTCTTACCAGGCACATCGAAGACAATGGCGGTGAAGCCATGGAGCATCGGATGGTTGAAACGCGTCTTGTGGCAGAGGTCGCGGATGCCGAACAGCAGGGACACGTTGCCCAGCCAGGCAGCCACCCACGTCAACACCTCCTCTGTACCTGCTCACACACAAGAAGCACCCACAGAGAATGGCGAAAGCTCCGACCGTTATCGTTATCCCACACCCATTGTCTCACATTCAAAGTGTGGGCACGTGGCTGCCATGGCGTCCTGCTCCATCTCTCGCCCCGCCGCCCTTTGAGCACTGCCCATGGTGAGGGGCTGCCGTGTCCGCCTCACGGGGTAGTCGTTGGTGAAGACGGCAACCACATGGCCGTCCACACCGACCGATGCCGAAATGGCGATCATCGTGGCGGGGGATGGGTCGACCAGCAACGTCCTGCAGCTGAACAGACACACATACCATACCCAGTCTGCCGTTCGTTGTACGTCACTGCCTGCCTGCCTGCCTGCCTCCCTTACCCATCAATCTTGTGGTTGAACATGCCGATGCTCTGTCTGAACGGCGTGTCGCCCACGCACAGCTGGCGCAGCCCCTCCCCCGCCCCAGCCCCCCGCCCCTCTTTCTCCGCCTTCCTTATCTCGTCACACACGGCGGCTGGCTGAGGGACGGCTGACCTCCTCAATTGCGTCTCCAGCTCGTCAGAGGAGCTGCTTTCTGACCCACTGCCGTTGCTCGCGTTGTCCTGGAGATGCAGCGGGAGCGGGTTGAAGCCGGGGGGGAACGGGTTGGGGGCGGGGTTGAATGGGCGGGGCTGGGGGCAGTGGAAGAGGAAGGAGTGGGGAGGGGCGGTGAGGGGCTCTCGGTCGGGAAACGACACGTCATGGCGGACGTCAAGACCAGACAGACACACGCTGCACAGGACACAACACCCACATGTGCACAGTCAGTTATGTGATTGTTGTGTGTGCGTAAGTGTCGGTTGGGCCTTCCTACATGTGTGCAGCCGGCAGGCTGAGGGCGTCTCGCTCGAGCGGTGGGCACCGAGGCTTGTGCGCGCTGGTGAGTCTCTCTGCCGACGCCGCAGCGTAGCATCTCTGTCCGACGACTGATGCCCTCAGCAGCCGGCGAAAACTCGCCTCAGCCACTGACCGCCACCCAGGGCCTGCATGCATTCACACGCACACACATTCCATCAACACTCACGTCGTCACGTCGCCCACTCCACTTCTTTTGATGTCTTATCTTACAGTCGGTGGTGGCGCCTCCCAGGGCGAGAGCGCTCAGCCGCCTGTAGCTGTGGCAGTAGATGCGCCAGAAGTTGGCGTACTCGTCGAGGACGGGCTGCACGCGCGAGGACGCCTGCCTTAAGCGGCCCAGGGAGGCGATGTCGAGGAAGAAGCAGATGGAGTGGACAAGAGCGTGGGGCAGAGTGTCAAGCAGGTGGTGGTGGAAGGGCTGCTGCTGAGGCTGGTGCTGATGTTGATCCTCCTCTTCCATCGCAGTTCTGAAGGGAGGAGGTGCTTTTGCGAGCTCAAAATGTGTTGCGCGCAGTAGCGATGGCGTCTGAAATGGCTGAATGGATTGGCGTCCACCCGCCCTTGTATGACCCGAACCTCTCCTATATTGAGAATCTTCAAAAAGGCCCATTCTGGTGAGAGATCTGCTTGTGCAGTCAATGCAATGAGTCCCTTCACTCATCCAACCCCTCCATGGTGTGGTGCGTGTGCTGGATGCAGTCCTCCATCAGTCCTCGAGTCCCTCCCTCCCCGCCCGGCCGTCCCTCTCTCTGAGCGCGTTTCCTTCCTCGGCCATGAGCTGAACTCCACCGTCGGCGTGCCTGCAGGTGTGTCCTTAGCTATGTGTGTGTGCTGATGTCCACTCATGCCGTTCGGCTGACTGGTTGTTGATCAGGTCCTTTGCTTGGGTCCAAGTGGACGACTCTCGCTGCTCAGCTGGGGTTCGACATTGTGACGTACAAGACGATACGGTCGAGAGAGCACCCCTCACACCCGGTGCCCAATTCGCTGTTCGTCGACACATCAACTCTCAAGGAGAAGGTACAAACACGCACACACACACACACACACACACACACGCCGTGGTATTCTGTTGATCAGCCTGGTGGAGGCCACGAGGTGTGGGTGTGTGAGGACCAGCAGCAGCAGCGGCTGCCGTCGGTGTCTGCGCTGACCATCACCAACTCATACGGCATGCCGTCGATGAGCCGGGAGTACCTGGCTACCGACCTGCGCAAAGCGAAGGAGGGCATAGGGGAGGGGCAGATGCTCATCGTGTCGGTGGTAAGCCTGGCAGACCAATCGCGATTGAGGCATCCGTGGAGGTGTTTGTTGTCAGGTGGGCACGCAGCGCAGTGATGGCGTGTCGTTGGGTGATGACTATGCGGAGGCCGCCTCGTTCGCACAGCAGCACGGGGCGATGGCTGTGGAGGTCAGCGACTGTCGTGACTGACGGGGGATACACATACATGCACGTTTGTGTGTTGTTCCCTCGTGTGCAGCTGAATTTGTCATGCCCCAATGTCGACAAGAAGAGTGGCTCGCTCTACCAAGACCCACAGGCATGGCACACACGCACGTCACCACGCAATGCTCTCCTGCGGCGCCACGAACCGTCATGTTTGTCGCTTTGTCGCTTCAGAGTGTGTATGATCTGTCCAAGCGTGTGGTGGCCGAGCTGCAGCCCACAGCCACACCCGTCATCGTCAAAGTGGGCGACTTTCCTCATCAACAAGACCTACAGAAACAGGTAGCTCTCTCACAGACACAGAGCCGTGAACCAACCGCACACAATACCTCTCTCCGTCTGTGTGCCTCAGGTGATGCAGTCGGCCTCACGAGCAGGCGTCCGTGCCTTCTGCGGCCTGAACAGCGTGCCCATGACTGTCCACAAGACACAGAGTGGCGCGTGTGTGCCCGCCCTTGGTGCAGACCGGCCCACCGCCGGCGTGTGCGGGGAGCTCATCCGGCCGTGGGCGGTTGCTTTCATCAGAGAGGCGGCGCGGATCCGCCGTGAGGATGGCGGGATGGATGGCATGGCCGTCATGGGTGTGGGCGGCATCACACAGCCGGAGCATTTTCGCGACTTCTTGGAGGCTGGCGCAGGTGGGCGACCAAGTGAACGTGGGTATGTGCGTATGGGTGGCTGGACATCTTGTGTGTCGCTTTGTGGGGCGTGTGTGGTTCTGTGTGTGTGTGTAGATGCGGCCCTGACGGCCACGGCGATGTGGTGGGATCCGCTGATTGCACTCAAATACCACAGACAGAGGGCAGCGGCGAATGGACTGACTGGTGTAGTGTAGTTTGTATGGCGAATGGACTACTGTGAATTGCCGTATACTTCCATGTGTTGACGGACGGACGGACGGACAGATGACCGAGAAGATGAATGCATGCAGGAGTGTCATCCTCCTCCTCGTCCCCGAGGTGCGAGCTCGGGTAGGTGATCAAAACTTCGGATCTGGCGCTCGTCACACCTCAGTGCGCACAGATCCGGCGTGTGTGAGCCTCGCTCCCTGCATTTTGCCGCAAGCGGCACATAGATCCTGCAGCCTCGTTCGTGTCTGCGCAGCGCAGCGGCCATGGTGGACCGGCCCAAGATTAGGCACCACGACGAGGTCAGGAAGTATGAGGGAAAGGTGGAATCGCTCGACCAGCTGCGGGCAGCCGTCAAGGCGAAATTCCCTGACGTCAACACCGACATCGCCACGCTGGGCTATGGTAAGGGAAACGGGGCTTGGAAGGTGCCCAAAAGCACACTGGCGCATCGGCAGACACCTGCACACGTGCATGTGTTGTGTTGTGCTGTGCTGTGTTGTGCTGTGTTGTGCTGTGTTGTGTTGTATGTCTGTGTGTGTGTGGGTGCAGTGGACCACGTCGGCGGGCCTGCCATCACCATCAGCTCCCCGGCTGACTTCCAGTCTGCCCTCACCGACCACGGCCTCATGGCCGCACAACACGCCAACACGAGCACACCCACGCCCTTCATGTTTGTCGTCAACGACAAGGACAACAGCATCAGCAGCACGGGGCAGCGTGAGGAGGCAGGTGCTGCATCGTCACTGGAGGGGCGGCAGCTGGGCGGCCTTGTCAGAGGACTCACCAGGGAGATCGCCGCGCTCAAAGACACTGGTACGTGGGAGGGTCGCGCATCCAACCGACATCGTGGGTGTTGGTGTTGGATCGTGGTTGTGTGTGGGGGTGTGTTTATTGCTGACAGTGAGTGACTTCAAGTCGTTTTTGGAGTTGTACGGCACCGAGACGGCGACGAGCGCCCGTCGGTTTGTTGAAGACCAGGTGACGGCGCTCGTGGCCAAGCTGGGCGAGACCAACATGCAGATCGTGACCGACAAAGGTCAGTCAGTCGGGGAATGACACATACAGGGAACTGGATGACAGAGGGTTGTACTGGCGAGTGCAGATCGTGCTAGTGTGGCCACGAGCGATGCAACCACCACTGCTACCGACAGGGTATTTCCCACACACAAGGCTTCATGGTGCGAGATAGATGGTATGCAGTCGAGCTAACCTCTTGACGTGCTGCAGATCACCACTGCAGACGCCCTCAAGAGCAACCTGGGCGACCTCCCCGTTGGCCTCCCCGTACACGCAAGCTGGTCAGTCAACGCACCCACTACGACGCGCACGGAAATTGGTACGCATCTGTGTGTGTGTCCTCTTTGCCACTGCAGGCAGTTCTCCAACAGTTCCAAGAAGGAGTGGGCGGCGGGGGCGTACATCAAGATGGAGGCCGGAGGCACCCTGCTCTCCCCAGAGGGCGACACACAGCCCATAGCATGCTGCAAAGACATCCCCATCAAACCAGGTAGGTACACGCACCGACCCTGACCCACTCGATGCGTGTACACAGTCGATGTGTGTGTGTTCGTGTGTGTCCACAGGTGGCCTGGTGTCGATTCAGGTGCGTGTGGTGCCCGACCGTGTGGGCCCAATATCGTCCGCATGGCGCATATTCGGCAAAGACGGTCAGCAAACGCACCCCCAAACTCTCCCATACATACACGCAGATCCATGCCTCCCCTCTCTCATTGGTGTGTTCAGGCAACCCACTCAGTCGCGCCTTCACGATCGAAGGCGCCGGCGTCGACCAGAACAATGGCTCGTCGATGGCGCCCCCTCCCCCTCCCCCGCCCCCACCCCCACTCGTCCCCGACGTGCCACAGACGACCGTTCAGCCACCACCTGTGGGCACCACAGACACTACACCGACGCACACGGACACTTCTCATCATGTATGTGGTGTGATTGGCTGGGCTGAATTCAGCCCCCGGGCCCCCCTCCGCCCGTTGCCTTGGTGCGTCCGAGGGCCAAGACGCAGCACAGCGAAGATGAGTTCAGCTCGCCCGGGCCGGCCCCAGTGCAGCCGCCCAAACAGCAGCCGGCACGACCAGCACACACACAGCCACAGGGGTCGGCAGATCTAGTGGTAAGCTGAGCTGGGCACGGTGGGGAGTGGCCTCAGGCGTACAGGTACACACACCATGAGTGTCTGTGTGTCTGTGTATATTGATCCATCAGCCTGTGGGTCCGCCATCTCCCTTGCCAGGTGGTGCCACAGCACCACTTCCCCCGCCACCCCCACCACCGTCGCAGCCCAAGCAGCCCATGCAGCAGCCGTCGGTGCCATCGGTGCCCGTCGTGCCAAAGGTGCCGGTGGTGCCAGTAGTACCGGACCTGAACGGCACGCGTCCAGTGGGCAGAGAGGAGCCACCTGCTGCCGTTGTCGACGAGGGGGAGCCATCTCTGTCTGCGGAGGAGCTCAGGTGGGCGCGGAACGGGGGAACATCGGTGGCGGGAGGGGGCGGTTGATTGGGGGTGCGTGGTGTGTATGTCTGTATGTGTGTGTGTGTGTGTGTGCAGCAAGGCGATAGATCGGTACAAGGGTGTCTTTGGCGAGAACCTGTTCCACCGCATGTACAGCATCACCTCCATCGACAGCCCACTGCCAACGGTGCGGTGTGTGCACAGACAGCAAAGAAGGAAGGAGAGGGCGACCTTCTCACGACCGCATGTCTGTTGTCTCTGGTCAGTTGCCCCAGGATCTGATAATGAAGTTCGCTGCCCAGATCCGCGGCAAGACACAGTAAGAGCGGCACAGGTGCATGTGTTGTGTCGTGGTCGTGCTCACACGCTTCTCTGCATTCTGTGTGGTCAGGGAGAAGAACGTGATGCGCATCACCAGCAGTGACGGCGCCGACTGGGTGAGCATACGAAAGGCTGCACGCACATACGTGGTCCGTGTCCCTACTCTGTATCCATCAACCATCAGGGCTTCATTCCCACCGACCCGATCCGCGAGATACTCGGCCCAGACGACAGACAGCCCATCAGAGTCATCGTAGGCAC